AAATCCGACATTTATCAGATTGCCAAATTTTGTTTGGTATAGCTTTGTGGACAATAAAGTTATTTGAAATGTTGAAAAGAAAAAAAAAACAAGCAAAGAAATAAAGTGGGGCAGCTAGGTGGCACAGTGGATAGAGCACCAGCCCTGAAGTCAGGAGGACCTGAGTTCAAATTTGGCCTCAGACCAAACACTTGACACTTATTAGCTGTGTGACCCTGGGCAAGTCACTTAACCCCAATTGCCTAAAAACGGGAAAAAAAAAACAACAAAAAAAAAAACAAATGAAATGTTGAGCACTCTTATAGCCATGCTGGCAGCCTTTTAAAAAATAACCCATTTTCCCTTGAATTTGAACCAAAACCACATGAGCTTACATTTCCCCTTTAGGAGTTTTTGTTTTGTTTTGTTTTAAACTGTAAGGCTTTGCCAGTTATTGGGTCCTATACCAAGGCAAGATTATCATGCTGTCCTGAAAGTTCGGTTTTATATTTTTACCATTTTTCATTTGTATTTAAGCAGGATATAAATATCAATGTAGAGCTACAATATGTTCATATTAGAGTCAAATGTTTAGTATTCTGTAAAGGTACAAAACTCAAACTTTTGAAATTAAATTCTTAGAGTTTCATTTTGTATAAAGGGAGAGGAACTACAAAAAATGCAGTACAAATCTGATGATTCTTGAGTTTACACCATGTTCCTTCAAGAAGTCTGTTTCTTAACCAGTTAGAACTATTCAGTGGTAGAATAGAGAAGGCAGAGACGTAGGGTGTACCTCCTCATTGGAAGGTTTCCAGCAAAGACTGAGGGACCACTTGGCAACTGTGTTATAAAGGGAATTCTTGTGAAAGTATGCATCAGTCTCCAAGGTCCTTTCCAACACAGAATTTTTGTGATTCCTCTTATGTCATATTTCTGTTATATTTTCTTCATGCACATACTAATACCAAATGAAGTCACTTTAAGTTGTAGCAAAGTGTTCCAGATGTTGAAACTTGTATGCATAAGGGATCTCCATGGCACACAGATAACAAATAAGACTATTACTATCCTTGTCCTTCTATAAAGATTATTATTCTTTCTGGTTTAAGGCAGGACTGGTTTATGACTAAGTGATCCTGGAGATTGTATCAAATGTACTTCTTCCTTTAGTAAAAGAAAAAATGAAACAGCTTTGATATTTTTATGATTTGAGTTAGTTCTTTATAAATTCTGGACTCTGGCAAATTATATTTCATTCATATGTAACTGAATAATAGATTTTAGAGCTGAAAGAGACCTTGGAGTTCATCACTATCCCCCTAATTTTACAGACAAGGAAAATAAAGTACTGAGGGTTTGTGGGACATGCCCGTGTTAGTAACAGAGCCTAGAATACTATTCATGTTCCCCAACTCCTAGTCCATTGACTGCCACCTTCCAGGTAAAGATAGAATAATAACTTACATTATATACTACTTTATATTTTACAATGCACTTTCCTCACAACAACCCTCAGAACTAAGTACTGTGGTGGGTATTGTTATCTTCATTTTACAGATTAAGAAATTAAACTCAGAGAGTTTGAGTCAGGTTCAAACATAGATTTTTCTCCTAAGTCTAGTCTCATTTGATAATGGTTGGTTCATGTAGAAATCTCTTATTACCAGATAGGTTCCTGCTGTCTTAGTACTTACATAGTCAGTTGGTGGGTAGGGTGATGTTGCATAAATCCAATCCGAAGTATAAGACCCAGCCTCTTCCCTCTTAGAGTTTATGATAATGTTGGTGCGACAAGACATATCCATTTATGTAAAAGTTAGATAATGGTGGCTCCAGGTCCGGTTCAGTGTTTTATTATGTTCAATGTAGATTGCTTCCAATCCTTTCCATATGTGGTTTTTAACCACCCAAGGATCAATGGGGGCTCATTCCTAGGGTCATAGATCTCATTTCTCCTAGTCTTGTTATGATTTCCTTAGGTGACAGAATAATGCCCTGACCCCCCCCCCCCTTAGATCTGCCACACACTAGCTGTGTAATTGTGGACTAGTCATTTGACCACCATCTGAATCTCAGTGTCATCAACTATTAAGTGGAATTAATTTTTAAAACCAGCAGTTTATGAATAAGAAACTTGGAAAGGTTTTGGTGACTTGTCCAAGACCACGTGACTAAGAGCAGCCCAGCGAGCATTTGAGCCCGACCTTTTGATTTCCAGTTCCATTGCTCTCAATTTGGTGGAGTCTGTACCTATGGTAAAACCTCTCATGATGCGCTGGGTTCTCTAGTTTAGTCTCATGGCATCATAAGGTTCTGCATTTCTTACAAATTCTATATAGAATTGATGTTTCAGTCATGTTCTCCTGAACCTAATGTCAAGAGTCATATTAAGGAGTCCATGAATCTTTTGTGAACCTCACATCAAAATGCAGCTGTTTGTGGATTACTGAAGGATATGTGAACAAGTAAGCTGTGTTGCAGTTTAAAGCAAACTTAAGGGAAAGTCAATTAAGAATTGAAAAATTAAAAGAAAAAAGTCAACTAAGAATTGAGAGTGAAGGAGGAAAAAAGACAGACTTTATACTTCTACCTCCCAAAGTAAACTGTCTTACCAAAAGAAGGCCCTTCACAGAGTGTATTGCAGTCTGTGTGTAGTTTGTGGGAAATTAATCTTGTAGAAAGTATCAAATGTCTGCCGTACAAGATGCCACTCAGTACATTTCAAAAGTTATAAAGTAGCGTAAGGATGTGAATTGGTTAAGTCAAATAAATGGTATTGGACATAGCAAGTCACTTGAAAGCATAAACATTGTGTATTTATTGATGCCTATGATTAAGTGTTTGTTACTGTGTCCAATTTTATAATGTAATATTTGGCAGCTGCCCCAAGTTCATAGGTAGACAGTTTGAAAAAGTGGATAAAAGAGGCAGCCCTTCTCCTTGCCAAGGTCACCCCTTCTGCATGATCATATTCCTTCTGTTTTCTCCAGAAGGTTGACACCGTTGTCATCCCCACTCTCTAATGATCAGTCTTTCCTCATCTTCCAAGTCTTTCCCTGCTGCCTGCAAATATGCCCGGGCTTTCTTCCATTCTTAAAAAACTCTCACTTGAGCCTACCATGCCTTGTAGCAATTATCCTGTATCTCTCCTGCATTTCTTAGCTAACCTCCCTGAAAAAGCTGTCTCTACTCAATGCCTTCATTTCCTGTCTTCCCACTCTGTTCTAAACCCTCTGTAATCTGAGTTCTGACCACCACCTTCAACCGAAACTGCTCTCTCTCAAGTAACAATCTCTTAATTGCCAAATCTGAAGGCCTTTTCTCAATCCTTATCCTTCTTGACCTCTCTGAATCCATGACCTTCTCCTGCATACTCTTTCCTCATGAGCTTCTATTATAATGCCCTCTCTTCATTTTCCTCCAATCTGTCTAAATGTTCTTTCTTAGTCTCCTTTGCTGGATAGCCATCTGTATCATGCCCACTACCTTTGGGTATCCCCAAGGCTTTGTCCTGGGTCCTCTTCTCATTTCTCTTTACAATCTCTCACATAACAATCTCAGCAGCTCCCGATGGCTCATTTTCTACAAAGATGATTCCTAGGTCTACGTCTCCAACCCTAGTCTCTCCCATTAGCTCCAGTCCTGAATCATTTGTCATATGTCTTATTGATCACTTATTGGACATTTCAAAAAATGTCCCATGGATGTCTCAAACTCCTAATAGACAAAATCGAACTCATTATCTTTCTCCCAAACCTGTCCTCCTAGTCACCCAGTCTCACAATCTCAGTATCGTCTCAACTCCTCACTCACCTCATGTAGCCAATCATTTACTAAATCTTGTCATTTCTTCCTTAACATCTTCATTCCTTTCTCTTCATTCACACAGACGCCACCCTAATTCAGGTCCTCATTACCTCTTATCTGAATTTATTGCAATAGCCTCATAATTGATCTTCTTTCCTAAGTCTCTCCTAGTTCCAAACAATAGTCCACACAGCTGCCAAAATGATTTTGCCAAAGTGTAAGTCTGACCACGCTTCCCTATTTGGTATACTTCTGTGGCTCCCTTTACCCCCAGGACCAAATGTAAAGCCTTTTGTTTGGCATTTAAAATTCTTCACAACCTGAACTTTTCTTTCCTTTCCCATCCTCTTATATTCTGCCACCCTCTAGGTACTATATGATCTAGCCTTGTTGACCTACCTACTGTTCCTTGCACATAACACTCCATCCCTCATCTCCAAGTATTTTTATTTGCTGTACACCATGATTGGAATGCTTTCCTTCCTCACCTCTACCTCTTAGAATCCTGGCTTTCTTCAAGATTCAGCTCAAGCACCACTTTCTGCAGGAGGCCTTTCCCTTTCTGTTTAAGGTTGACTTCCATCTACCTTATATGTATCTTTCATATACCTATTTATGTACATTTGATCTTCAGCAAAATGTAGATTTCTTAAGGGCAGGGATTTTTTTGTTTTGTTCGGGTTGAGGTTTTGTTTGTTTGTTTACCTGGCAGTTAGTGCAATGCCTGGCACATAGTAAGAGTTTAAAAAATGCTTTTTGATGGACTATTTGAAAAGAAATATTTGTCCTCTATGTTTTTGTTAGGGTATTTGGCTCCAATAAACGTATTCCACCTGGTTTCCATCACTAGAGTTTCATCATATCCAGACACTGCTTAAAATCATAGGCTGGTATCTAGAGCTTAAAAATCACCTCTGGAAAGAGATTTTCCCCTTAGTGCCTACCCAGACCCTCTAAGATGTGTTTCTGTGTATCTTTTAGGAAGGAAAAAAATTTTTAAATTGCCATTGTAAGCAGTTTTGGATTCTTGAAGAAAGTACATTTTCTTCTCTATTACTGTATAGTCTTTGATTAAAACCAGAAACCATTCATTGCTATTTCCAAACTAAATGTACTATTCCCCCCCAAAGCATTTTATATCATCATTGTTATCCTTTTAGTTTGTTTTTTAACCATGCAGTTGATTACCCTAATGGTTGTCTTTATTTTAGGCATTCAGGATGAATCTGGAAAAACTCAGCAAGCCTGAGCTCCTGACCCTCTTCAGCATTCTAGAAGGCGAGCTAGAAGCAAGGGATCTCGTTATTGAAGCTTTAAAGGTATGGTCTGAACACTGCAGGGAAGGGCCTGATTCCTTTTTCCTGGTCCAGTGTTAGCAATCTACTTAACCCAAATACTTGTCTGCCGTAGAGCCCCCAGTGAAGATAGCGATGGGGAAAGTGGGACATGTGGCCGTCTCTGGGATGTAACTGCAAGAACCCCCTCCCATTTCTTTCCCTATAAGGCCTAATTTCTGAAACTCTGCCCTAGAGTTTCATTCCTTTATGTAAAGCTTTGATCCCAGACAATGCTTGTTAGGCATTTATATCCTATCAATGAGTTTTAGATATTTTCTGAGCCCATGTTTTAATAATAATGAGTAGAAGGACTAAGTGAATGAGATGATTACCCAAGGGCAGTTGAGTAAGGGGAGAAGCAATAAATCAAGGAAAAGTCTAAAAAGGAAAATAAAATAAGAATGCTAAACACAAAAACTTTCCACTTTGTGTTATGCCTAGCCTACCAATGGCCTTTACAGGGGAAGGGGAGGAGGGAATAAGTATTATTAAGCACCTACTATGTGGGGCAGTACACTAAGTGCTTTATATTTATCTCATTTTATTCTCACAATAAGCTTGGGAAGGAGGTGCTGTTATTCCCCATTTTACACTGGAGGAAACTGAGGCAGACAGAGGTTAAGTGAATTGCCCAAGAACACATAGCTTGTAAGTGCCTGGTCTTCCCTAGCTCCAGGCCCAGCCCTTTATCCATTGTGCCACCAACTGCCTCATTGGTACAGTTTGTCTTGTTAAGTGGTAGAAACATTGGCTATTGAGTCTGAGGACCTGGGTCTGAACCTCATAGCTGCTATTTGGTAGCATCATCTGGTAGAAATTCAGTTCAGTTCAATACTCTGGAGAAAGAGCTGGATTTATAGTCCGAGGTCCTGCTGAGTTTGGATTCCAGATTCCCCTCCCTCGGCTTTCGTCTTGAGGGCGGAGTGTCACAGACTTAGACCAGGAAGGGATCATCTGGGCTAGCGTCCAGTGGTGCAGTCACATGACCTGCCCAGGGTCACATAGGTATAAGTGGCAGAGCTACCATTTGAACTCAGGTCCTCTGACTCAAAATCTCGCATTCCCTTCCAGTTTTAAATAGTGTGAAATTTGTAATGACTTAGATCTTTAAGTTATTATTAAAAACTATATGAAAATCAGGTTGTCACAATGCTGCAGTTATTTTTAATGTAGCCAAAATTATACTTATTAAGTGAAAGGTGCATTTCTATCAGTCTTCCACTTACATTCACTACTCACTGTCCTTTCAAAAATTCTTTACAGTGACAAAAATCATTCCCTCTCTCTTGCCTGAGTAGAAAACGCTGGCCACTCAATGTGAGACCATTCCCAAAACAGTAGTGTTTCTTTTCCTTAACCTTCCTCTTCAGCCCCCTCCCACACTAGATATTTTAGGATTAAGGGTTGCAGGTTAGCTATGGTTGTGTGATCCTTTCCTGGATTACTCTAAAATTACAAGCCTGGTAAAAATAAAAACTACTTCTATACTTCTGTATTCTGATATATTTGGAGTGAGTTGTTAATTTGTGGCTTTTAAGACTGGGTGGAAATGCCTATAGGCAGTTATTATTGCAAGTCTAAAAGCTTAATAGTAATCCTGTGAGTAATTTCAATGCAGTTAGATGCCTTTCAGTGTTGCTAATTTTTGCAAAATATTGCTCCCTCTTTATTTTCATATTTATTTGTATAATTGTGTTTTTGTAGTAATTCATCTTAGTTCCATTTCTACACAAGTTCATGGAGCAGTGTCTTAATTGGTGGCACTTTTGTTAGAGTAATTCATCAATTTTAGAAAACTGTCCTGTTTCTCTTCTTTCTCTACCTCCAATCTGCCGTCAATCATGTTTCCCATGACTGCATTTTGAATTGTATTGATGAGTTTTCATTTGATCCATGCCATTATTTTTAATAATATATAATAGCTAACCTTTTTATAGCACTTACTATGTACCACCTCGCATACTAAGTGCCTTACAATTTTTATCTCATTTGATCTTCAAAACAACCCTGGGAAGAAGATACTATTATTATCTTCATTTTACAGATGAGGAAACTGAGGCAAAAAGGTTGAGTGACTTGCCCAAGGGCATGCTACTAGTTAATAGTCTGAGGCCTGATTTCAGCTCAGGTGTTCCTGACGCCACACCTGGCATTCTCTCCGCTGCATCGCCAGCTGCCCCAGCTGTACGAACTGACTCTCCTTAGATGCTTGTTATCGACTATAGCATGGCCTGTATCTGTTGGGAAGAGCACTGAGTCAGGAGAACTGGTTTCCAATTCTGTGCTCTGCCTACATGTCCCACCAGGTCCCAGACACTCCTAGGCTGTTTAACTTGAGGCAAGCCCTCCCCCATCTCTGGGCTGGGTTTTTTCATCTGTAAAATGAACTGGTTTAGAGAGTAGGACCCTTCCAGCCCATGTGGCCCAACGGCCCATATGGCCTACTGTTCTCTTTGTATTCATCTTCCCTACCCTCCCTCTACACACGGTGCCTCACAAAGCACTCTCTACCCAGTGGGCACTTAATCAGTGTCTCTGATTCACTGATACCTGGCCAAAACTTTATTTAGAAGGGCAGCTCAGGACACACCTACCCTGCTCTGCTTCGCTCTGGACCCACTTACCCAGGATCATGAACTACCTCCATCCCACTGCCACCTGATGCCACCCCACCTCTTTCTCTGCCTTTCTCACCCCCCCCTCCAATTCTCCCCACCCACACTATTTTTCTTCCATGGGAACATGGTTGGTGGTGGTGTCAACAATGACTTAAAGGAAAAGGGAGTGGAGGGGGCTAAGATTTTTTCTCCTGAGTCCCATTTCTCAAATACGTCCTCTGCTGAAGCTACTGTTCAGTCCCAGGAGCCAACACTAGTGGTTTGAGGCTTGGGGGTTTCTGAGCAGTACAGTAGAGGTTCCTGTTCCTTTTCTCCTACCCCTCTTCCCCCAACCCAAGTCTAAACTGAGGCTTATTTACTTATTTTCCCATAAAATACATTGTTATGGAAAGTGGGTAAGTCCAAGTACATGACATGTTAAGTAGGTTTATGCAGCTTGGCCTGGCAACCTAACCACCGTTTATAACATTATTTCTGTTGCAAAACTGAAGTCTTATTTCAAACAACTAAACTGCAAATGAACTTTTCCACGGCAGTCTTCTTAAGTTGTGTCCTGCTTCCACTTAGGCAGTATAAAGGATGAATTTGCTTCTATTAAAACTGCCCCCATAGAATCTCTCGTTTTGCATCATTTAACAAATATATAACTTAACCTAAAAAGCCATGGCAAATAAGGGTGTATTTGTCTACTCTCAATGGCAGCTGTAATACTTCAAGGCTTTACAAAGTGTTAAGTTTTACAGCCTGTTCTTATATGTTGTGTTGTACCCTATTTTCTGGTTCTTATGTTAATAAGCTCAGTTGCTTATTACCAATGTTTTTCCAAAAGATTTAGAGTGGGGGTGGAGGGTGCAGTACATAAATCCAGTTTTATTTACCATAGGCAACTTCTGACAAGTTGAAAAAACAGCTAGAGAAGCCATAGCTATAATTAAGGGAACATTTTGCTCCAAGATCCCATTCAGTAGCACACACAAGTGGTGTATTTAGTCTGTGCATGCCGCCTGGAGGTGATAACTTTATCTTCCCAGGCTTTAACTGTATTCACTAGAGGTGAAATGAATAGCTTTACCAGAAGGGGCACATCTTGAAACACTATTATTAGATAAAACAACGAACAACTGGATTCAAAGTTTCAGTCTAGCAGAAAGACAACTGCCATACCAGATTCTTTGAGTTGAAATGAGATCTGACTTAATTTTTTGCCATATTTATTCCTCAGTCCATTTTTACTGATGTATTTGTCAGACTTCTCAGAATCTTTGTGGTTCTTTACTCTTTTCTTTTTTTCTTGACATTCTCTTTAATTCATATATGAAGATTGCTTGCTAAAAATTGTTATTCACCCTGCATATCTACGACTACTTTTTCTTTTAGGAGACCTTGGGATTTATTTTTTCCTCCTTATTTTCAACCTGATTTTTCCAAGTGTGGAATCTATTCCCTAGTTTGTCTTCCAATTCTGAACAAAACCACTGTTAGACACCAGACTGCTCTGTTGATTCTAGATGAATAATGAGCCACATTGGGAAGGCTTGAATTTACCAGAGGCAGTCTACGAAGTTACCACAGCGTGCAAGCAGAACCCCAGCTACAAAGTTCCATTTGTAAAATGGCTTCATTCATTTCTCCAGCTTCCTGGGTAGTGCCAGATCTCATCCACCCTCCTTCCCCAACTCCTGCAACTAGGTTCTTTTTCTCTTCAAAATATAACAAAAATGTCCTTACCTTTCTGTTGCAGTTATCGCTGCTTTGGCAGCTTTCTTTTCATGAAACTTGAAAATTCCATAGTATTCAGCTTTTCTCAGTGTTAAAGTCTTAACTGTTCTCTTGGCCATGGGTATTCTATCTATAATTGAACTGTTTGGGATTTGTCTTATAAAGAAGTATTACTCCATTTTGCAAGAGCTCATATTTTTTTTTTAGGTCCTATTCATTTAAGTGTAACATCTCCCACTACAGGATGTCCCACCACAAGAAATCTCACTGCTACAGAAATAGAGCAGGAGGCAGCTCAAAAAAAAAAAAAAAATGCCCTTAACTTGCTCTATTAAATCCTGCTAAATCCAGTAAATTATTTTCTACCATGGTCTGTGACACATGCTTCACAGAAAGATGAAAACATTTCAGAGAAATCAGCGTTATTTTAAAGTCAAGAGAAGCAAGTGGCCTTGACAGTTGAAATTCACGGAGTAGTTTCTTTTTACCTGCCTTAGTTGGTTGTTTTCTGCACTCCTTAATTGTGATGCAGAACTACTTTCGCACTATACAAAGTGGCCTCTATACCAGTTGAGTTGAAATGAGATCTGACTTATAGGCAGTGAATTCCTATACTCTGAATTAATAGTGATACAGGCTTTGTCC